ATCCACCCCGAGATCCTGCCGTCCGAGCTGGGCGGGATGATGCCGCCGTACGACATGGGCACGTGGGCGCGCACGCTGCTGGACCACGCCTACGACGAGGAGGCCGACTACTGCCCGGAGTCCTACACCCTGTCCGTGCAGGACCTGGAGAGGGACCTGGAGAAAAACATGTCCCCCAAAACCATGAAGAGGTCGGTGTTTCAGCTCCTGAAATCGTGTGTGTGTGTGTGTGTGTGTGGGTTCACTCTATTTACTCTCATCATGCACGATAAGATAACTAGAGACCATCAAATTGACCCTTGGAGTGAGCGTGTGCCGTATGGAATATTTCTGACAACCTGATTTTCACATTTTACATTTGAGGAGCAAGCAATTTATGAAAAGTTAATATAGGATCAAATTTGGAGACAGTTTTTTTTTTTTTAAAGCGGTAAAAATGTGCTCAGCAGAGGCTGCCGGGTCCAAACTCTTCGGTTATCTTCTCTTCGTGTGTCAGCGTAGAGCCGAGTTTCAGTTTGACAAACTAACCGGGTTATCTTTGTGTAATTAGAGTCAACAAATGAGACAGTATTGGTCCATTTGCAGAGTTTTATCTCAGTGTGGTCTTCCTGTCCGCTGACGGAGATAAAAATGCAGTATTTATCTGACTTATTTCCTTTGCTGATTAGACGTTTCGAGTCCTTAGTTCTATGGTAATTATCTTTAAGATATATGGGAATATATTAAATATGACTGTAGAGCGATATGAGATATACTTAATTTGATTAAATCAGTTTTAGATATAACTAGCTAAATGTCACATAAATGTGCCTCAAGTCAAAGTGATTTGGAGTTTTTATTTAGTTCAAATCTAAAAAATCCTTTAACGTAAAGCTTTAAAGTTGCTGGGAATGTTTGAAAGTCGCCTATAGCCGCGGTGGAACGTGATTGGCTCTGACAGCGTCTCGTTTCTTCTCCCTGGGACCCGACAGACTCATCCTCTCAAACACATTCGTGCTACGTGATGCAGACAACCCTGATCTGAGACAGACGCCTGTCACTGCGGGGCGGCACGGCCCCGCCAATTATCCGTGAATCATTAGCCCGTAATTCGTTATCTGATAATGACACTTTCAGCTGGTTTTCCCCAGGAGCTACGAACGGAGACGGTTCTTTGTGTTGCTTATTCCGGATCCAGCCTCCAGAATAGTTCCTGTTTGAACATGGAAACTGATTCTTACACTGGATTTGTTTAAAGAAGAAAGCTACACAAAAGGATAACCAAGCCAGTGTTAAGTAGAGTGCATTTAATTCCATTTTGCTCCTTTGTTTTATTTCCAGTAGCAATAAAAATTAAAATGAAATGGATAGCAGCTTTTAACATAGGACTCATTCTAAACAATAGATAACTGTTTTTACTTTTTACATTAAAATACAGGAAATATGAGCTTTAGTTGATTTTCAAATCCCTCAAAAATCTGTGTTTAAAGTGCAGTTATTAAGCAATCTACTGAAGGAGTGACATTCTTCCAGTTTTGTTACAGTTCATCACT